TCTACAGATTACAAATCATTTTCATAGAAGATATTTTTGTACAAATTTTACATGTATTCAGGAGCTAGACATAAATCTGCTATCACTTGTTACGCATCAGAGAGTTGGACATTGACTAAGGAGGATAGAAGGAGAATTGAAGTCTTTGAGCTGTTGTGCTGGAGAAGAGTATTGAATATACAATGGACTGTTAGGAAAACAAATAGATTCATCCTTAAAAGGGTCAAACAGGGCTGCTCCTTGGAGGCAAGGATTCTAAGGTTCCGTCTAACATACTTTGGACATGTTGCAAGGAGGGACAGGTCCTTGGAGAGGGACATCATGCTTGGGAGGGTGGAGGGACAGCCCAGGAGGGGAAGACTCTCTATGAGATGGATTGATTCAGTGACTGGGGTAATCGGGATGGGTGTGTTAGAGGCAGTGAGATTGGCATAGGACAGAGCAGAATTTAGGGCTATTGTACATAGGGTCACAAGCAACTCGATGGCACATAACAACAACAATATGCTTCATTTATCAAAGATTCATAGTGACCCTATAAAAAACACATCTGAATCCTGCACTATCCCGTGCCATTCTCATAATTTCTGATGTATTCTAATTCATTGCAGGAGTTAGTTTGTCAGTGCATCTGGTTGAAGGCCTTCCTCTCTTTCACCAACCCTCCACCTTTCCAAGCGTGATGGCCCTCTCCAAGAAACAGCCTCTCCTAATAGCCTGTCCAAAGAATGTGAGATGAAGCTAGATAGGGAATCAGTAATAGTCCTTAGAATAATCAATCCTACAAGATCAAAAAGGAAACCTTTCTCTAGGGATAAAGCTCAGAAGTCAGAGAGCAATAGGAAAGAAGACTGAATGGGGAAAGTTAATACAAGAAGAAATAGCAAGAGTACTTTTCCTTTATGGGGATTCCAGTAAGGGAAAACAAAATGTGCATGAACTTCTTAATGAAAAATAAATTTTCTCCTTAGACATTTCACTCAAATCACAACAAAAGTTTGAAAAAATAAGAGTTTGGGAAAATTTGGCCTATACTATTTTTAATTATACCTGGAAACATAGTTGAGCATAGATAAAGGATGTTTACTTGGAATATATAGGGCTACTGCTTAAGGTCAAGTGTATTGGGAGATACCATTCAATGACTATAATGAGAGTAGTACCTCTGGACCTTGTAGAGAACAATGGTGCTAGAAATGTGCTGGCAGAGATAGAGGGTGAAGTCTCAGCAGAGACAAAGAGATGCATGCCACTGTCCATACTTGTACTGGTTGCACATTGCATGCTTGTTAACTTGTTTGATGGTTTCCACAGATCTGTACCCCTGACCTGGTGGTGTTCCTGGCTTGTGCTAATCAGAGACTCAAAGAAAGATTGCTAAAGCGTGCGGAGCAACAGGGGAGACCTGATGACAACCTGAAAGCTACTCAAAGGAGACTAATGAATTTCAAGCAGAATGCCGCTCCCTTGGTTAAATACTTCCAGGAAAAGGGACTCATCATGACAGTAAGTTAGCTACATTTACATGTTCTGAATGAAAACAGTCTTTTCAGATTTCTAGTACAATGATTTTATTTTGCAACCTTAAAAAAGTGGCTATTTTTGTGTACAAGAAAAAACCCAATTTTTCTTTTATTTGCCTTTTTTGCGTCATAATGACTAGAACTTCCTTTCTATTTTCATTTAGAAAAGTATGATAAATCTTTAGCTATAATCCCATTGCTCCATTTTTAAGGCATCTTAAAATAATTATTAAGGTAGCTTTAAGCAATATTTATCCAGTGCCTCAATTCTTCTCTCTGCCTTCAAAAAACCTGATAAATTTCAGGACTTAAAAACACACGCTTTAGCATGTGTTATACTAGACGTAGCTTATAAGTTAGGCTTCATTTATCACAAGGTACCATGTAAAGAAATGAGTTTCTCATTGCAACTGAGGAGGGATAAGAGCACAACCTGCTTTTTTTTTACCTGGGTTTGACCTGTTAAAAGTAAGGAGGCTATAGAATTTCAAAATAGATGGTGTTTTGATACAGTGCAAATGGTAATGTCCCATAAATCATTGCTTGTCTTATGGCTAAGGAAAGTGAATGTCATGTAGGATTAAGCTGAATCATTAGTTAGTACAATTAGGAGAGTATGAAAATCAGATGTGACTTTTCAGCTAAGTGTATACCCCTAAAACATTTAGAAACAAAAATGGTTGCTAACTTATTGATTCTAATTCATGGTGACCTCATGTGTATCAGGGTAGGACTACACTTTGTAAGGTTTGCAAGGGTTTTTTTAGAAGTGGATCACTAGGTTTTCTTCCTAAGGATCTCTGGGAAATCTTGAACCTCTAAACTTTCATTCAAAATGAGCATGCTAGCCATTTCCATAAACCAGAAACAAAAAGGAGCAGAGGCCATGTGAAGAAGCTTACCTGGACACTAAAACTAGACTTTTCCCAAGACAGCTGGCTGTGACGGGATTCGGCATAATGCCTTGAGTTCTTTCCTACTGACCGAGGGATTCTTGTTTAGGAAGGCCACAAACTTTCTAGAGAACCTGATGAAAATGATGCATCCATGCCCCACCAAAATGTACATAAGGCATACACATTAATTTTAGGTAAATCAGATGAAATCCATTTACAGAGATTCAACAACCCAGCAGGTCCTGGGTTTAAAAAAAAAATCTCATCGTTAGACCTAAATACCCCTAACCCAGAAAAAGACAGTCACTGCTTTTGAACAAGAATATCTTTGCTATCTTTTTAGCACTCTGTAGATTATTTATTGTGATTTGCTGTTGGAGTCAACATTGCCATGCTAGAGACTTGTAAATCTTGTCTATGAAGTGTTCACCATGCTGGAGTTCTTTTTTGTTTTTTAGTTTATTTTTATCTAAAACAGACATTGAGTTAATAAAGAAAGAGAACAATCAGAATGTGTTATCTAAGGCTGGTTTTTTATTTTGTGGTTTATTTGTTTTGTTTTTAATAAGGTTGTTATTAGTTTATCTTATAAATCTCAAGTCCTGATTCCTATATTGTCAGGAAAAAATAACATTTCCAGACTTAATCTCAACTGCAAGGTGCAGAGCTAGTGTTAATTAATGCTTGAAAGTCTTAAAGGTATTACCAGAGTGTCTCTGTGATTGCTCCCTGCTTGTGACGTTCGTCATCACAAACAGCACATTGCTCAAATGAATGCAGAATGGGGTTTGTTAATTTACTAATATTTTGTGTAGAGGTGAAATGCCAGTCTTCTAATTGAAGGAGTCAATAACAATATGGATGAAAGCCTGCAATCCCACTGCTAAAACCAAATGAGCTTTAAAGCGAACACCTCAAATTACCAGCAAAAGCCTGGTCTTGGAAAGTCACCCTTGGAAAGCAAGGAACACAAACATAAGCTGTGCTGAAGGGAATATAATTTGGAAGGGGGCGGGGGGAAGGTGCAAAAGATACATCCTGAAACACATGTTGTCTTTCAGAAGCTTGATCAGAGCTCATTTTTTTCCCCCAATTAAAATCTACTTGGTTGCACTTCTTTTAAAAATGAATTACTGAAAATTTTATCCTTATTAATTACAAGCTTGTTAAGACTTTCATTAAAATCTGGAAGTTAATAGCCCAAACCTGAATATTTCCTTTTCTCTGTAGGGTTTTCCTTTGCTTCTACCCATCCCTCCTAATTCTTCATTTTTCCATTTGATAAATACTTATAGAGAACCACTAGGAGCCAGATAGTCTCCTAAGTGCCAGGGATGCTTTATTCAGTGATGTATTTCAAGGTCCTAAAAGAGTGCTTGCCTGAAACATAGCAAATGAACAGAGCTTATTGTCTTTGGGAGGGGGAAATTATTGAACAATGAGTTATTAAATGTGAGACCACGTTGCAAAGAAGAATGTGCAGGGTGGTCTCACATATGCTACTGTGCTAGGCACTTGAATTCTAGAGATGACTGGAACAGAGCCTCTTCTCTGCCCATGAGCAGAAATAGTTTATCTCTATACTAGATATTCAAGGACCATATTATCCAAAAATGACTGGGACAGCACATCAACAGAGAACTGCCAGAAGTCCAGGCTGGGTTTAGAAGGGGTGGTGGTACTAGGTTTATTGTACCTGATGTTAGATGGATCTTGGCTGAAAGCAGGGAATACCAGAGGAATGTCTATCTGTATTTCATTGACTATGCAAAGGCATTTGACTGTGTAGAT